TTATTTATTTATTTTTTATGTATACAATATTCTGTCTGTGTGTATGCCTGCGGGCCAGAAGAGGGCGCCAGACCTCTTTACAGATGGTTGTGAGCCACCATGTGGTTGCTGGGAATTGAACTCTGGACCTTTGGAAGAGCAGGCAATGCTCTTAACCACTGAGCCATCTCTCCAGCCCCCGATGACCTTTTCTGATCTCTGAGGTTACCATGCACACACATGATGGACATGTAAATGCATACAATACATGCACATAAAATAAATAAACTAAAAAAATACTTTAAGCAGAGGGCTTTGGCGGTCTAGAGAGAATAAACGCATTGCACCACCTAATGTAAGTCTAACTGCAAGCAACGTAGTATAATGGCAGAGGGTAAGAGTCCATCAGATGGGGGCCTGATGCCCAGCTCTGCTGTTGACTAAATCTGTTATCTGTGCAAATCACTTACCCAGGCTTAAAGCCCAGTCAGTCCCCAATTGTAACTTGGAGATCTTTAAAAGCATTGTATGTGTATACTTCATATTGTGGGTATATCTAACTCCCGATTCTGGGTCCATGTGTTATTTTCTCATTCACAAATATGAAGTAATGCAGATCTACAGGATAGGCTGGTTTCTAAAGAATACCAAAATAATCCGAGCGGTGGTGGCGCACGCCTTTAATCCCAGCACTCCGGGAGGCAGAGGCAGGCGGATCTCTGGGAATTCGAGACCAGCCTGGTCTACAAGAGCTAGTTCCAGAACAGGCTCCAAAGCTACAGAAAAGCCTTATCTCGAAAAAACAAAAACAGAAGCAATAACAACAACAACAAAAATCCCAAGTGAGTTCTCTTACATGCTTTCTTCTTTTGCTATCTGTGGGCGATGCTTGCATACAAATTCAGTATTTCCACATCACAAGACATGAGGCCATCAGACCCATAGATGTAAAATAGAAGCCTTGTTCTCAGCACAGCGAAGACAGACACCGTGAGCAGATGATAGAGGAAGTAAGCTTTCAGTGTCCTTCCAACAGCCAAGGAATCACGTGCTTATTTGCATTTTAAAAGGATGTGGTCTTTTCACAAAATAAGAAACACAGCCTCCCATTAGCCTCCAGAGAAAGTTAAGAAAATTAAGAACATTTCTTCTAAAATTCTAGAATTAGGTGTCAAAGTGATAAATGTTGATGTGAAAGAAACATCCCTATTTTTTCCCTAACCTAAAAAAGTAAACATTTAAACTTTCCGTCGGGATAGCTGATGATGTTACTGTGCAAGGGGGATTATTAGGCATAGAGGAAGCTGATGGCAAAGGAATCCAGTTCAAAGGACTCCACAACGCAGTGGCCAGCCAGTCTACTCACCCAGAAGCAGCCAGGGCTTAATAACGCCAACTTGCAGGTCCAAGCTAAGGTCTTGCACGTAGCCACAGCCACCCCCACCGCCGGGCTCCGCTTCCACAACTTCAACTGTGGCATCTTTCCAGGTCTCTATAAGTTTCTTTCCAGATAGCGTGGTCACCCTGGTGCACTGCTTCCTGAGGTTATTCCGGGAGAATGCTTGGATTTCTTGGTTCAGGGAGTGCATTACATGAGCGAAGGAGGAAAGGCGGCAGACACAAAGACACACCGCCCTCACCGGGCGTCACTACCCGGGAGCTGGACCCAGCAGGTGACTGTGGCTCGGCTCAGAGCAGCCCAGCCCCACTGTCCCGAGCGCCGCTGTAAGGCGAGAGCTGATTGGCCGCTGAGACACAGGGGCTGATTGGATGCCGCTTCCCACCTGCAGCCGGAAGTACTGGGAGTTCCGGGTCCGTCACCGCCCCTCAGCCGGGCTGGTCCTCAGTGTTTCACCCCTGCTGAGTTCTGCAGGAGGCGTGGTCTTTCTGAGACGCAGTCGTGGAAAGCTGGTGTATCCTGGCTCTCAGCTCGCCCAGGGCAGTGTGTTCCGGGACGGCCCTATTGACCCTTACTAAATGCAATCTTATGATAATTTGAGTACAATGTATAAAGACTTAGAAAAAAATGTATTCTCCAACATTACATACAAATGTTTCTGCTGCTTTTAAAACTTTCTGTCATGAAAGTAAGTTTATGGGCTGACTTTTTGTGTTTCTTCACAATTATAGGTTACAGGAATTGCAGGCTCAAGTGTCCTGATAGTTGGAGGTAAGACCTTTGGGAGGATAAATGGTATTGTATTAAAACATATGACAGGATTAATGGCTTCATGAAAAGGCACAAGAACTTCCTTCCCTTACCCTGGGCCAGGTAAAGGAGGACAAAGGAAGTTGGGAGAAATGGGTGTCAGTAAAGCAGGAAGTAGGAGCACATCAGGAGCCTTGCAGAATCTAGCATCTCGAGGTAAATTTCTCTTGCTTATGCAACACAGTTTATAGTGCTTTGTTTTCTCCTTCGAGTAGAGTTTCGCGCTCACCGTACCTGGCTGGAACTCCGGAGTGAAGTGTAAATTATTTGTCTCCTTTAGTCGATCACAGGCTCCTCCAAAACAACCCTCACCATAAATCAGTCCATGTACTTATCCGACAGTGAGCACTTACCGCACACTGCACTCCGCTAACAACTTCTACACACTTAATAACTTAGACATTAAGTCATTTTACCTCACCACGAGCTTAGTGTATACAATAAATATTTATTTAAACAGATCCACAGTTTACAGCTGGGGAAACTTGGATGCAGGCAGAGTATTTCACAGCTACGTTTTGAACCACAAGTAAAGCCTGGGTGCGTTCCAGTCCAGAGCTTCAGTTTTGTTTTTTTTTTTTTTTTTCAAGACAGGGTTTCTCTGTGTAGCAGTCCTGGCTGTCCTGGAACTCACTCTGTAGACCAGGCGGGCCTTGAACTCAGAGACATCTGCTTGCCTCTCCCTCCCAATGCTGGCATTAAAGGCCTGAGCCACCACCACCCAGCTTCTTTCTTCTTTACTACAGAATCCTGCTTTGCCCCTCAAAGTAACAGTAGCTATAATAACAATATTATATGTGCCAGGGGCTGCATAGTTTAAACACATAAACACATTAGCGATTAACTCTGAGTCACCAATAATGCATCCGTGTCACACTAGGAGAAGAACGAAAAGAGCTTCCCCTTGGGGCTGTTTAACCAAGAGTGAGCCCAGACTTGAATTCTCTACTTCACGTAGCCTGTGTCTTCCATCCTGTCTGAAACTGTGCCTGCCTGGAGGCTGTCTTGTGACTCTGTCCCTGTCCCTATGAGTCTATCTGTTGTCTGTGTGTCTGTCCCTGTGGGCCTGTCTGTGTGTCTATGTGTTCAATCTGTGTGTCTATCTCTTCTGAATACTGCAGAAATCATCACATGGGGAGGAATGATATACTTTATAGAAAATTTTAACAGAGTTAACAAGTTCAATATCAGCCCCAAGTGATCCAGACAACAAGCAGTGCTACAAATATCATTGTTTATCAGTCAATACCCAAGTGCTTGTTCAACATTTATGATGGATATTCATTTTAGAATATTGTTTTTAACCTCTGCCCTTTTCAGTTGATGATACACGTGTATTTTTATGGATCAGGGGTGTAGAAGAGTACATATATTTAAATTACAGATATGCACTATCTGGTAGATTTTTTTTATATTGCTTTATTAATATAGTTTAAACAAACAGGCTGAGTACATGGTAGGATAGTAGTCTTAAGTGACCTCAGGGTGTATTAACTCTGGCTGTGAGGTCCAGCAAAAGATCCACTGTCCTAGAATGTAAGAAAAAATTATTGTAATCATTGCCATAAGGTGCTGTTATAGTTGTTATGATTATTAGGGGGAATAAAAAATTCTGTTTTGTGGAGCATGTGTTCGAGTGGAGGGAGCAAGCAGGTGTGTGTGTGTGTGTGTGTGTGAGAGAGAGAGAGAGAGAGAGAGAGAGAGAGAGAGAGAGAGAACCATGGAGGAACATTAAATGCTAAACCCCATGGTGAAAGAACAGTGTGCTGCTAGCTACCGGTTGGTGAGAGAAGGCCCATCCAATAAAACACTTTGAAACAGGCTTGAGTAACATGCAGAAGCCACCATTAGAGGTATCTGGATAAGAGAGGCGTACGAAATGTCTGTGCCATGCACTGAGCAAGTGTCTAGACAACAGAATACTTACTGAGAAGTAGGAGAGGTAGGTGTGGGGCTCAGGATGTGGTCAGGTGGCTAATAAGTTTTTAGTGAGTAAAGATCAATGTTGGAGGAGATAGGGACAGAGAGATAGCAAGAACTTTATGCTGTATTCTTAGTGAGATCAGATGTCACCAGTGAGGCCATTGGTATAGTGAGCCCTAAAGGTGACAATTTCTTCAAGGTCTACCTCAACTTCAGAAGGCTAGAGCACACCCCTCACAGAGTGGATGGCATCCATGAATGATTGACGTGGGAACCTAGAGGCCGGGTCATCTTCGCCTAACTTGGTACAAATCTAAAAGGTCACTGTAACTGTAAAGGATAGAATGTGGTTGGCCTTGGCTGTCATAAAGTCTATTTAATCACGTGACTTCCTTTCCCCTTCCACATGTACTGATCCAAGAATACTTTTTTAAAAGATTTATTATTGCCGGGCGGTGGTGGCGCATGCTTTTAATCCCAGCACTCGGGAGGCAGAGGCAGGCGGATCTCTGTGAGTTCGAGACCAGCCTGGTCTACAAGAGCTAGTTCCAGGACAGGCTCCAAA